GCCTAGTCTAGACAGTGAGTTCCAGGCCAGCCACGGTTACATATTGAGACCTTGTTCAAAAAAAGGAAACTGAGACTCAAGTTAAGAAGCGCTATATTACCAAGCATAAAAGGAAGGAATTAGTGTTATACAAAATCCTCAATCTAGACGGGATGTCATGTTAATTGATCAATGAGTTCATATGAACAGTTATGTGATCTGTTCATATTACTCCTATACAGTAAGACTTCTGAACAGATAATGTCTCTGCTTTAAATTTAATTAATTGAGAAAACAAAATTTAGAAATTGTTAAAGACTTAAAGCATAAATGGCCTTTTAATGTATGTTTAATATACTGCACATACTTCCTATGTTAAATAATGCTCTATTTTAATGTGATATACATTCTCTAGGCAGATTCTTCCCCTTTCCGTTCATAATTACGTCTCTAACCATCCCAGACAGTAATGAAAGCATATTGAAATCTAATTTTCGGTATTAATCCCAAGGCAGCCACCTTAAATAGTACTGCTTACTATGGAGTGACAGGGCATTCAGCTCTACCTTCCTCTGGGCTAAGGCCTGACCCTGAGTACACACAGCTGTGGGTACTACCCGAGCACTTTGGGCAAACCAAACTTGGCATTTCCATGCCAGATTCTTCATCATAAAATGGAAAGAACAACCTATCCTATTGCGATGATGATGACTGAAGTAAATGACACTTTTTAAAAACACTATTGAGCTACCTGGAAAGAGGGCTCAACAGTTAGGAATGCTTCCTGCTCTTCCAGAGGACTTTAATTCAATTCCCAGCACCCAGCTTCTGGCTGTCTCAGGACCACGCACCCGTGTGCACAAATAAATCTATTAAAAACACACCTGGGAAGATACACATGAACTACTATTAGAAGATCTCTAAATTTCTGTGTGGCACTAATTGAAAGCATTTTGCTCCAGATGTTCTGAAATCTTGTCCAGATGTAGAATCGAGGTGGCCTACAGTTACTGGGTTGGCATCAAGTATTTTAAAACCTAACTGCCCTCCAGGGATTGGTTCTAAGTTTCTTCTGGAGGATTACGATGTCAGCTCTAAACATTTTGGTTTTCCCAGGTAGAACGCACATTGTCGCTACATTCCTCTTGAGGCGGGAATAGTATATTAACATAAATTTAATGTCGGTAGCTGCAACACACTAGCTCTATGATTAATAAACATTTATCAAAAGACATCATTCCAGAATAAAAGTATTATACTCACAAAACATACTCCAGGCAGAAAGAGCTCTGGCCTGAAGCACAGACGGTTACTCTCGTGCCAGACTGTGCACAAGCTCCCCAGTGCACTGAGCTTTTAACTGTCCACAGAAGGCAAGGGTGCCTGCAGACAGGCCCACCTCAGGGACGCACGTGGTGGGAGGAGTGAGCCAACTCCCATAGTTGCCCTCTGACCCTCACAAATACATAAATGAAACCCAAACTGCATTAAGACAAGAAGGCCTCCTTTAGCTCTGTACGTAAGTAACTGGAGTACTGCAAATAGGTTGGAGTGACAAGAAGGTTTTGACAGAGTCCATACAAGCACTTCATCTAAGCTCAAGGCCTACTATTCTTAAAGGGAGTATCTAACAAACTCAAATGCAGTGAAACAGGTCGGATATGGGAAGACTGATGGCAGAACAGGAGTCCCTTCCAGACCAAGGAAGCCTTCCCCTCAAAGCACATCATATTCAACCCCAAACCTATGTCCCACCCAGACCAAGTCATTCATCTCGGCAGTCTCCACCCTTCATCCCCACACTAAATTCACCCCTGATGTACCTCAGTCTTTAATGACAGGGAAACAGTGAACACCATAACATACTTCATTCTAATGCCATCATTTATGTGTCACTTATTCAAATACTCTGCTGTTCGGCTTGTCCCTTCCTAACTAATCGGGCATTCATGTGTGGAACCTAGTTTTAACAAGGGCTGGAGCTACCTAAGACACTTTGCATACAAAAACAAATGGAGCACTTCATAGAACTTTAATGTTAGAGGTCTCTATAAAAGAACAAAGGAAGGGTGTCACCATCTGCCAGCTACTGGTGATCAGCAACTTTAAGGCACTGACCACGTCAGTTCTGGTCACTGAAATACAGACATGGTGCTGCTTGCCTTGTGAGCCAACACTGGGATTGAAAGTTCAGAGCTAGCCTAAGAGACATGGCACCTTGCTGGATGGCGAGAAGGCGACAGGACACCACACCTATCAGAATTGATAATATTCCCGAGCCTACCTTTGAAAGAACATTCATCTATCACTAACAGGAATCTAAATGCATATAAATCTTGTAGAAAATCAGATCTATAGACTCACAAACACCTGGAGAGGATTCTGTTATAGTCACTATATGGATGCACAACAGAAAATAAATTTCGACTTAATGTTAAAAAAGAAATCAGGCTAGGGAATCAGGATTGTAGAGCAGTCAATCAGCATGTACAAGGTACTGGGACCCATCACCACCACACACACACACCAGGCAAAGAACTACATATGAAGTAGACTTGTATAATGACAATAAATGCAATATAGACAAAGTATATAGGGGCTGGGGGAGGCTGCAAAGAGCAGCAGCAAAATGTCAGCTAACATTTTTTCTTCGTGTGCTAAATTTGACTTCCATTTTACTTCGAGTCACTTGTTATAACATGAAAGAATATAAGAGGCAAAGGTGGGAGACCCTGAGGGAGAGAAGGAGCAGAGCTTAGATGGAAGGGAACGGCAGAGGGTTGGTTACCCTCTACTAAGTGCTGTAATTAAGCTTTTACCCTAGCAAGAACTTCCTAACTTCACATGAGCAAAATATACAGTATCTGTGCTGAAAGGACAGCTTGCCTAATTTTGTCAACAGGTATAAAAAATACAAACTGCATAATGCTTTACAAGTTATGACACACTTGAAATCCAACATCAACTATCACTCCAAGCACCTGTTTTTGTGTCCCCTTTAAGGATCAGCAAAACCTGAGTTAAACAGATGGTATGTTTTTATAATAATGCCAAACACTTATCCAGTGGTTACCACATGCTGGCCTCTGGTGAAACATAATCCTCATCCCACCGAGAGGAACACGAAGGGCAGACGTGAAGTGACCTGCCCAGTCACACAGCAAATCAATATCACACATTTAAAACAGAAGTTGTGAGTTACGTGACTCAGCTTCACAGGACCCCTGACAGAAGTGGCCGGTGAGCTGGCTCCTTAAGCTTTCCACCTCTTTCTGGTCTCCATGGGGCCTGGGGTGTATCTCAGTGCTAGAGTGCTGTGCTTAGCATGCACAGGGCAGTCGGAATTAAAAAGAGAAAACACACACAACAAAGAAAAAACACTTGACTTTTCTAGCTATGCTTAGAGAAGCACAGGCACTGGGTGCGGTTAAGACCCCAAACTCATTTTACTGGAGAACCTGCACCTCAGGAGAAAATCAAGGCATTTAGTGAGGAGACACCCAACAGATGTCTCCCTCTCTCTTATATACACACATTGATTGCTCACAGTTCACACCTCAAAGGGAGCAAGAATTTATTCTGGAGCCAAATATGAGTGATCATGAACAGGAGACAGGAATTGGGGTTGTCTCAAATCCGATGTTCCAACATGGTGACTATTTCATGTTTTCACAGTAACAACAACAAAAGCCACATATCAGGGAACATCAAGTAGGTGGGGACAGTAAATCGGGGAAGCCCCTGAGGCAGGCCTCAGATACCATGAAATGTTACTCTTAGCCTTTGGGCTGGTGGAAGCCAGGATTCTGTTTGCTTATACACAAGGATATTAGGGCAGACACGGAGGGGGCAACAAATGAATATGAAGGAAACTAAAGCCAGCCCCAAAGAATTTAGCTACAGTTAGTAAAACTACAGCTTTCCACAGTCGCAGGGGTTCTGATCACTCGATCATCCTGGCAGACCATTTAACTCACGTGCATCTTTTCTTCCTGAGCCCTTCTGCTCAGAAGAGGAGACACTCTAACCCAGCAGTACCGCCATCCCCCAAAAACAACACCGCAACTCCAGCGCCCTACGTTCCTCTAAGAGCAACATTTCCAGGGCCTTGAGTGTCATGTTAGGGGGTGCCCGCCACCACCCCTGAGGCTGGAGGTCAGAGATTGGCCTCCCTTTACACAGGAAGCGAGCAGGTTTAGCGCCCGGTGCAGACACCTGCGGAGGAGCTCAGGGCCCAGCTCGGCCAGGGGGAGGCTGCCGGTGCTGGGCCCGTCGCTGCGAACTGGGCCTTGCAGCCCAGCCCAGGCGCCCGGTTACTCACGTTGCACCAGCTGATCCCCGGTGAAGGTGGCGGAGCAGCTGGTGACTAGTGCGCAGGGAACCCCGGCAGCCATGGCTGCGGCTCCGCGGGCTCCGCGGGCTCCGCGCGCTCCGCGCCCGCGCCGCTTCCGCCTTGGGCCGCACCACCGCGGCCGGCGCGCGGGGGGACGCTCCGGGAGCGCGCACAGGCCGGGGCCGCGCGCAGGACACCCGTAGATCGGAAGAGCGTCGTGTGTCATCAG